GTGTGGTGTTTATTCCTTTTTGCTGTGTTGGTGCCCTTATCAGGCAGTCATCTAAGTATAGAAATATCGTCACTCCTTGTCTGTGAAGGTGAGCTGCAATGGCAGCGAGAAGCTTGGAAAAAACTCTTGGGGCCATGGAAAGGCCAAAGGGTAGTACTCTATATTGGAAATGCTGTTTCCGTACAGTGAATGTTGTGTTCTCAGGAATTTGTTGAGTTTTCGTTAATTTCTGAGTTAGAAAGTAATGGGAATAAAAACCTCTCCCCCTGTGTTGTGATGGTACGAGTTCCACACCACATAATTGTACAAGGTGGTTTATTTCCTGTTGTAAGGGTCCTTGAAGAGGGATGGGGAAGGGGAGTAGGTAGGTGGGATAGAAATAAAGGGGATGGAGTAGCCCTTCTGGATAATCTCTAAAACCCATTTGTCTGTCGTGATGGTATTCCAGACTGGGCAGTATGGTGACAGACGGTCTCCGAATGGGCAGGGGATCATTTCTGGTTCTGGAATCAGAGACTGTGGAGTTCTCATGCCCTCGACCACACCTTCAAAATTACTGTCTGCAGGTTGATGGTTGAGACATCAAAGGTTGATCTTGGTTCTGTCGACATCGGTTTTGTGTGCAAATAATTTCTGACCTTCAAAGGGTAAGTCCTCAACCATGGCCTGGACCTTCCTTGGGAATCCGGAGAGATGGAGCTAGGATGCACGGCACATGACAATTGATGTGGCGATGGATCGTGCTGCCATGTCTGCAGAGTCAAGGGAAGCCTGGAGGGCCGTGCTGGTGATGAGACCCCCTTCGGAAATGTTTGCTTTGTACTGTTTCTTTTCTGTCATGTGGCACATTTTCAATAAAGGTTAACATTTTGGAGAACAGATTGTGTGTATATTTAGCCTGCAGGGCCGCATAGTTAGCTATGTGGAACAGAAGCGTAGCTAAGGAATAGGCTTTCCCCATGAAAAGTTTTAGCCTTTTCTAATGGGGTCGTTCAGGACTGGTGTTGTTTCCCCCTTTGATTGACCACCTCCACCACTAGGGAGTTTGGTGCATGGTGTGTGAATAAAAATTCAGCTCCTTTTGCTGACACATAATACTTTTTGTCAGATGTCTTACATGAGGGTGGTGAAGTAGCTGGAGTCTACCAGATGATTTTCGCAGGCTCCAGAATAGCATCATTTATCAGCAGGGCTATCTTTGCTGATGGGGATGCCTGGAGTATGTCAGTGAGCTTATGTTGGGCTTCTGGTAGCTGTGCCAACAAAATGTCTAGGGATTCAGCAACCCTTTTGAAGAGGTCCTGAAAGGATCTGAAAGCATCCCCCGTAGTAGGGGGTGATGACATTATGGTTTTGTCTGGTGACGAAGATGAGATGTGAGTAGGTGGCCAAGTGTCCTGTTCGGCTGTGTGCTCAAGTTCCTCAGCATCTTCCTGTGTTTCAGAGGGTGCCGGACAGCAGGTGAAGGGGACCGGCCTGTTCTGGACCTAGGCAGGCTAGCTGGACTGCGGTTTTGGGCCCTAGACATTGCCCATGGATCCCAGTACGACCAGTTACTTGGGAATGGTAGGAGGGTGGTGCCCGTGGGTGACCATATCATCCTCGTATATCTGCAGGTGGTTGTTGACAAGATGGTCCTGGCTTTGGTGAGGAAAGATGAGGAGTATATATTACTGCATCATCCTCTTCTTCCTTGTCACTGGAGACGGGGGGGCTGATCTGCAGGGAGTAGTCAGCTGGCTAGGTACCGATCTGGATGGGTACCCTCGGTGCCGAGTAGAGGAGATTCAGGTGTTGAAGCCACTACCAGGTCCGGATGTCTCATGAACTGCTGCGGTACCGTGAGGCTTGGTGCCAGAGATGGCACTGTGGACAGCCTGGGAGCATGAGTTGAAGCAGCTGGTGTCGAGGACTTAGAGCTGTGCAGCATACGTACAGCAAGTGGTGCCATTTTACTGCTCGGTGCTGAGATCTTCTTCGGCTCTGTGGGCGCCGAACTGGAAGGTTTCTCTTTGCTATGTGAACCTCCATTAGAGTGTGCCCACACAGAGTCTTTAGCTCTTCGGGAACACTCGGTGCTGGTGCCACCCTGTCCGATGCTCTTGGTGCCGTCGGTACCGGGGCAGATTTTTCTGTTGGAAATCACTTTCGTTTAGGCAATTCTCGGTGCGGAGATGTCTGCGACTGCTTTTTGGTAGCCCTTCTAGAAGTAGGCTCCTTGGCAGCCGATGTTGAAGTGGAGCCCCTGTCAGAGGCTGCCATTGGCGACTGTTGGCCAGGGGGTGACCTGGACTCGGAGTCAGAGGCTGGTCTGAGGGATTTCTCCATCATGAGGAGCTTCAGTTGGAGATCCCTGGCTTTTCTTGCCCTAGCTGTCATTTTTTTTGCAGTGTGGGCACTTTTGTGTAATGTGTGTCTTGCCAAGGCAGTGGACACATTGAGCCTGGCCAGTATGGATAGTCTGCAAATTAGGCAGCATTTAAAACCAGGTGAGCTGGGCATGCCTGAAGGAGCGGTCTCTTAGAGAAAAAAACAGGGGTAAACCCAGTTGAGGTAAAGGCTGTATGACTGCCGGAGAGGCAGGGATAGATAGGGAAGATACATTAAAAAAAAAAGTTTTTCTTTTAAGAAATTAAAGTAAGTCAATAGATATGAAAACTAACTACAACTAAGCTAACCTATCGCTATAAACTAACTACTATAAATCTTATCTGAGCTAAGAGAGGGCGCTGCTGATTGCTCTGACTCAAGCCAAAGGCGGTAGAGAAGGAACTGGGGGACGGTTGGTTGCGCACCACCATGTAACTGCTCAGAGCCGCGCAAGAAGGCTACAGTGCATGCGTGGCCCAACCAGGCACTGCTAACACAAATCTCCGATCATTCTTTTTACCCTTTTTTATTTTTTTTAAAAAGACATTAAAAGTCTGAACTACTAACACCACTAAAGAGGGGAGGTCCCCCATGAAAAGGGTGGGAAGCAGGAAATAAAGGTTCTTTTCTTTCTTTTTTTTTTTAATTCCAATGGGGTAAACGGAAACTCTAACTATTAAGGGAAATAAAGGAACTATGAACAACTACTACTTATGGTACTGACGCAGAGAATGAAGAAACAACTGCTCACTCAATTTGAGGCCAAAGGTTGTCAAGAAGGAACTTTGGGTGGTTTGCCTGCGCAGAGCTAGATAGCCTTGATGCAGCCTCTTGAGGGAGAGGACATGTGTGGGCCGAATGGACACTGCTACCTAAAATCTCCGATTAGAGGCGTGGGGCACAGATACACCTATAGTGGAGCACCCAGAGGGACACTACTAGAAGAACCGAAAGTTCTGAGTCAGAATGCTTCTCCACATATTGTACGGGAGGTGACAACCCCTCTTCCTGAATAGTAAAAGTCATAAGCAGTCAGTGACCCAGCAGATCTAGGTACCAAAATGAGTCTGGAGGTTGCAAGGAAGGCTCATTTGGTACCATGAGGTCTTTACAGCATTGGAACTCCTGAGGTACCAGGCCACAACAGAGCTTGGTACAGTCACCGAGGTTGTTCCCGATGCCATTGTCAGAGGCGCTGGTGTCAGTACCAACGGAACTGTGGATTCCAAGGAGGCCGCTCTCTTGGTAGCAGTAGTGGTCTTTGGCTCTGTGTCCTTTACCACTGAGGTATGGGACTTAGATGAAGACTTAGAGTGCTTCACAGTACCTGAGTATTCAGAGCCTCACTAGCACTCCTCTTGGGGCCTGAGGTCTCCGGTGACCTAAACCTCTTTGAGGAGGAACTCTCCGTTCTGCTCCTCTTATCCCACTCCGCAGTCTTTGAGTGGGAAGCTCTCTCTATTGCTGGAGCGATTATTGGTACCTCACTCGTGCAGAGTGCCAGAGACCGAGTCTCGACGCTGCCGTCCTCTTGAAAGATCTTGGGGACCATGCTCTTGACATAGACAGAGCACTAACAGAAATAGATGGTCCTTGGTACAGGGGGGTTCTCTGTACCCAGGTCCGAAGCCAGTCTTTTTTTATGAAAAAGAAAAACAGGAACAACAGTTCCAACAACTATAAGGTTTTAATATTCTACAACTACTAAATAACTAATAGTATCTACTATTATAAAGAGAAAACAGGCACACACTAAACTCCATCTCTGGCTGAGAAGGAACCGAGGGCAGTTCACTCGCATAGTCCTATATAGCCTTAATATTGGGCACAAGTATGTATACTGTGCATGTGCAGGCCAAACAGGCACTGATACCAAAAACCTACAACCAGAGGTGCAAGGCACACACATACCTGAAGTAGGGCACCCACAGGGAAACTACTTGAAGAATTTGCAATTTACAGCCATCTAAATGTCATTTTTCAATAAATGCGCATGTACCAACATTGTTATATTTTTATAGTGATATTTATTTTTTCAGTCCCCAGAAATGACAATATTATGTAAAAATTATGAGCAAAGGATCATAGATTAGAAAAGACCAATTTTAAGGGAAGTTTTCAAATTGCTTGCTCTCACTTAGTCATGTGTTGAAAGGGAGTAAGGAGTTCCCTGCATGTGCGACCTGCAAAAAGCCTCAGCAAAATAGCAACCCAGCTAACTAAGATGCTCTCTGTGAGTATGCAAGTTCTCCTAAAAGATCTCTATGTACACAAATTGGTCTTGCGGTATAAATGTCAGTATTCATGAGGGAGTTTGGGGTTTTGTCTTTTTATTTATGTAAGAAACACTAGACAAAGTTATTTGATGGAAATATATTGTAGCTGCTCTACATGACTTTTAAATAAATATCTATAGTTGGCTGTAATGTTATACATTTATTTAAAATAGCACAATTTTGAGTTTAATTCAGGAGTAAAAATTTCATCAAATGCAAGTTATCACATAATATTCAATTACTGTATTTGGAGTTACAATGACTTGGTTTGAACTTAAAATACTCATAATAATCAATCTCACAAAGGCAAAAGAAAATGACCCATTTTAATGAATGTAAATTAACTGTACCTACCTGACTGGCATCTTTTACATGTATGTTATCAATCAGTTTGCATAGCAACCAAAAATATTCCTTACAACCAGATCGTAACACTGGTTCTTCTTCATAATCCTCTATCTGTGAAAAGAAATGCCTTTTTATTCACAAATATAACTGACAAAAAACTTGCTTAACTTAAACTCTGATAAAACAAGATGATAAATCTATTAACTGCTATAGGACTTACTATTTCTGACTTAAATGAGAATGATGGAAAGCAGTTGCAATTCATATTTAACATAAAGCTGGAATGAATAGTTAAATTCTTACCCGGATAGGTTTCAATGCCTGAGCATCAGGAAGAAATTTTAATAATGTTGATGAGGCCAGTAGCAGAAAGGATCGATTAATTGAGTCTCCCCCATCCAAACCACAGAGAGATAATTTGTACAGACCATTACAGGACTCATGGCGAACTGCAGTCTTCAAGAAAATATTTCAAATAAAATCAAATTGTTAAAATAACACTGCATATGCGATTTCCTTTTTCACTTTTGTCTAATATATGTATATAAATAACAGTTCTCCAAATACTATTAAACAACGTAGGCAGAGTATATTTCTATAGAAGTATCTTTTATAAAGTGCAGAGGCGTCCAAACGATCTAAAAACTACAAACTTACTACTAAAACTACAAGAACTATTTACACTAAAATTGTCAGAAAAAAACACTAAGAGAAGGATTGCCAAACAATGAGGGGTTCCCAGCAACCATCACAGGCGGTAAAAGGGAACGGAAGGGGAGCAGGGTTGGCAGGGCCCTTTATAACAATGCTATGAGAATGCCACACCACAGGGTGCTGGAGCCAACCCAACAGATACCACACAAAGGGAAAAAATTCCGGCAGCTGTGCTGGGGTGCGTACACACGTACATTGGAACGGACATGTGCAAGAACTTGAAGAAGAGCAGGAGTTTATAATGGGAACTGATTAACTGTACACCTTTAACTGTCCATGTTGCAATTGGCACTTGCTATATTTTGACTAATGAAAGAAAAGTTAAACAGTCTTTTTTAAGTAATGGCATTAGTAGGCAAAACACTCCTCTGAATTCTGATGGAGTAACATCAGACGACACTAGGGCTGGATTTGGTCCATATTAATTATTAACTAATATGCAATGATCTCTCCATTATCTTACCTCTGGAATAAGAAGGGTAAGTTTCTTTAGCCAATCTTGTAAATGATCACTATCTGCCAGGCTGGATTTCACCAAAGAACAGCAGTGGGCCCAACTCACCAAGAGCCACATTGAATAATGAGTAACTAAAGGGATAAGAGGTGGAATAAAGTCACCATGTAATTGCTACATTAAAAAGCTTTTTGGGTTGAAAAGTCACAAAGGACAAAAGCATTTAACATATTTCTCTCACTTGTGATAATGAGTGACAAAAGACCCTCATTTTGGCATTTAGGATGCCGCCAAAGCTGAAGTAATATATCCATTTGGTTACTAAATGTTGATTCTCTTTCTTAATTACACTATACTAGCGAGACACCACTCTGAGGCACAATTCCTTCCCTGCTTCCCCACTGCTCAAGAGGTGGGAGGTAATTTGCTGATACAGCACTAAATTATGGCACTCCCTGAACCAGCTCAGCTCTTCCTACTCCTCTCTTCCCACCAGCTAAGGGCCAATTTCTGGCAGGTGATACACACAGGGTGTCAGAATTCTGGCTCCAAAATCTACAGATACACCGCTCTCAGGCCCTCGGTGACAGGATACAGAAGAGGACTCCAGAATAGGGCATAAGGCTAAGGGGAGATGCCTGTGTATTTGTGAACATATAAGCTGTAACTTGACAATGGCTCCTATACACAGAATTCTCACAGGAATAATCTCAGGGAGTTGAGGGGGGATTGCTGGCGGAGTCAAAGACTGCTGCCAGTCAAAATACAGGTGAATATTCATGTCACATTTACAGTCTTAATGTGAACCTATTTGGAAGGCAACAATTCAACAATTCCCCCAAGCAGCGTTCTCAAGCAGGACTCTGCTGTAAACTGAGCCTCGGGTTGAAGCTTTGTACATATCTAAAAGAATCTCCAGGGGAGATTTGTGGTGCAAATACTATCTGGCTTCCTCTGGGGATGGGAATCCCCACCTAGGGCACAGCAGGCTCCACTGACACACGGGAACACATCACTGCATTAGTTGGGATGAATGAAACCCATGGTCTGTAATAGTTGTACGATATTTTCGCTATCATCAATAAATAAAAATTAACTATTTTCTACAGCACTAACCTTCATGTCTTGATCTGTGATCAGACTGAGCTTTCAACACCCTGTGCAGGAAGAAAATCAAATCAATTAAATGTTACTACAGAACAAAATAAATATATTATACCTGGAAATGTAAGAACTGAAAATGTACTTTTCTCATATTCACTTAAAATATATTCTTCCTCTCATAAAGTATAATATTAAAAGTAATTTTACTCTCAAATGTGACTATAATGGCATTATAGGATTCCATGTTTATTGTCACTCAATAGCTTCCACATAAATTCATTTCAGTTTATAAATAAGACAGTTTTTCTAACTATTGAGCCTGAAAACTCAAGCTGGAATGAAAAAGTAAAGGTGCTTTCCTTTCTGGAGCTACCACATATCACCAACAACTGTAAGTTTGTTGATGCAACCTTATACAACAAATATAGAAGGTACATCTAAAATAGGCCAAAACACTAATTCTCAAAATGTAGTCCTCAGGTGGCATCATATATAAGTGTACACACACATTATCAACACCAAATAGCGAATGGGGATAGGAAAAGCACACAAGCAGTCAAACCAATAGCATTCAAGCAAATTTATTTTAATCTTTTCTCCTTCATACTGTCCTGTAATCAAGACCTGCTGCAGAGAGGGTATGGAAGTGGCTTTGGGAGGTGAGATGGTTCATGAAAGGATCATACTGTGGTCCATCATGTGAAATAAGTTAGAGAACCGCTTGACTAAATTAATGAGGAAGTATACAACCATAGTTTAGTTTTTTTCATACCTTTTATTCATTTTTGACCTTTGAAAAACCATAGATTTAAGTTTAAAGCTATCATGAAAATGCATACATTTTTTAAACCGTACTATATAAATAAAAAGTTATTGTACCTAGGTGCCAAGTTGTCATACGTATAAGCAACTGACATAAGTCGCTGAATCAAACTTGTTCCCTGGACAAGTACAAGGAATACCTTTAAAAATTGAAGTTAAAAGAAAAAAGTTAATATAACAATGGGGTTAGATTATACACATTATGTCAATTTTAAAACAAACCAAAAACTGTGTGGGTGAGAGTGACTATACAAGAGACATTGGTAGTTAAACAGTTTTGCATTATAATTCTCACTTATAGCCAGGGAGGGTGCAAGGATGTTTCGTGCCCTAGGCGAAACTTCCACCTTGCGCCCACCCCCCACGACCTGTGGCAGTTCTCCACCCTAAGGCGGCCCCCACTGCAGCAGCTCCCCCCCCCCGCCCTGAGCCCCCTCCCCACGGCAGCGCCCCTCCCCCCCGTGGCAGATCCCCAGGTAGCCGTGCCCAGGGAGCCGTGCGGCAGCTCCCCGCCCCAGCTCACATCTGCTCCGCCTCCTCCCCGAGCACGCCGTCGCCGCTCCACTTCTCCTGCCTCCCAGGCTTGTGGCACCAATCAGCTGTTTGGCGTCACAAGCCTGGGAGGGAGAGAAGCAGAGCGGGGCGGCATGCTCAGGGGAGGAGGCGGAGCAGAGGTGAGCTGGGGCGGGGAGTGGTTCCCCTGCGTGCCCCCCCCCCTTACTTGCTGCAGGCGGCCCTCCCCATGCTCCCCTGCCCCAGCTCCCTCCACCTAAATGCCGACAACCAGGGCGGCCGAAGATCCGGCCGCCGCGGTCGCCGCCGAAGGACCCGAAATGCCGCCCCCGAAATGCTAGCGCCCTACGCGACCGCCTAGCTCGCCTAATGGGTTGCACCGGCCCTGCTTATAGCAGGACCAAAATCCCTATATTTTACACTTTTTGACTTTTTTCAGACACCAAATTTGACAGTAAAACTTTTCAAGGAATATTTGAGTTTTCTGTGTAATTCTTGCATTAATTCTATATCTTTTGCAACAGAAACTTTTTAAAATTATTCAAGTTGAGACTTGGTTTTCTGATATTTCCATGGATTCCTCTAACTCAATAAATGTATGTTCCATTTAAGGCTATTTTCATTCATTACCTCATCTTTACCTTAGTCATAGACTATATAGTGGGGATTAAAATAATCAAATTTAAAAGTTATTTTTAAAATTTGTCAAACTAATCCTAGGTTCACCAATGGAAGCTAGAGAGACCTGAAGTTACAAAAATAACATACTATGATAGTGACTAGATAATCCATTATCTAATCTTGCATTAATAACAAATCTATGTTTCTAGCCATCATTGTCGTGAATAAAACCTTGAAAACATGAACAGAATGTAATTGTGGTTTCCTTCTCAGCTATGAGGGCTAGAAACCTTCCCCCCCCATTCCACCGAAAGAAAATCTGGAGAGACTCTTCTGGAACAACCAAGTAACAGGTACATTAGATGACAAAAACACCTGTCAATGATGATTATGACAAAGATAAAACATTTATGACTAACAGCATTAATAAATCAAATAATAAAACCTTAATAAAATTTTAAAGTAGTCTATGCTATACAGGTTGCTACAGTCTCAAATTCTATTTTGCCTAAGACTTAACTCTCCCAGAAGTGTGATGTGCTGGTCTTGCAAACAATGTTTAACAATACCAAACAGGATATCTGGCTACAATTCATAATTCTAGTCTATCGTTCCCCAGATGTGCAGACAGTAAACTCAGCACCTATATGGTAAGAATGGCTCACACGCTCAACAGCAATTTATCCTCAGTGAGTCTCTCTCTAGCCATTTGAGGCCCGAATGATATTGGCCAAGTTTCAGGTGTGCCTGTATGCACCCGGGGAGGTAATGGGGAGGACAGAGTTTGTTATGAACAGCCAAGAGTGATGAAAAGCATATGGAAGAAATTTACCTCGCTCACCAGAGTTTTACAACTACAGAATAAATATGTTTAATATTATGAAGTCACTCTAGTATTAAATTATGGTTAAAATTATTGAGGTCTTACTTCCATTCTAAAACCCTATTTTCAGTTGCTTTTAAGAGATAACTTGAGGTAAAAAATTCTTGCTTGTTCTCAGTCCATTAGTCTTTTTTTAAATTGACTATAGAAGTCTATTTAACTCTTTTTGAGTTGCCTGATGTTTAAAAAAGGAAATACTGATTTTGACAGCTGAGAATTTTTTCTGACTCATTTTTACTCTTTGGATAATTAAACTCTTCTGTAAAATAAAGCGTAGTTTGGACATTGTCTTCACTTTATACAAAATCATTTTACATACTTGAAGAAATTTGAAGGAGTTGGTTCCTAAGTCATGTTAAAAAATAAAATAAAAAAACCCAACAGGACCTGAGATTTTGGAAAACTGAGATCTTATCCAAAAGGTGAAACTATTTTGAAAAATACTACAACTACTTAAAGATTATGTGCTGAATCCCCCAAACCAACAGTGAGAATGGAAATGTAAGTATATTTCTGATGTTTAGATTTTCAGAAAGCCTTTGGACAAGGTTCCTCCAAAGGCTCTTAAGCAAAGTAAGCTCTGCAGGGATAAGAGGGAAGATCCTCCCATGGATGAATAAATACTTAAAAGATCGGAAACAAATATTGGAATAAATTGTCAGTTTTCAGAATGGAGAGAGGTAAATAGGGGTGTCCGCCAGAGGTCTGTACTGGGACCAGTGCTGTTCAACATATTCATAAATGATCTGGAAAAGGGGGTAAACAGTGAGGATACAAAACTACTCAAGATAGTTAAGTCCAAAGCAGACTGAGATGAGTTACAAAGGAGTTACAAAGGAATCTCACAGAACTGGGTTACTGGGAATCAAAATTGCAGATGAAATTCAATGTTGATAAATGACAAGTAATGCACATTGGAAAACAGAATCCCAACTATACATATAAAATAATGGGGTCTAAATTAGCTGTTACCACTGAAGAAAAGAGATCTTGGGGTCATTGTGGATAGTTCTCTGAAAACATCCACTCAATGTGCAGCGGCAGTCAAAAAAGCCAATAGAATGTTGGGAATCATTAAGAAAGGGATAAATAATAACACAGAAAATATCATATTGCCTGTATATAAATCCATGGTATGCCCACAGCTTGAATACTGCATGCAGATGTGGTTGCCCCATCTCAAAAAAGATATATTGGAATTAGAAAAGGTACAGAAAGGGCAACAAAAATGATTAGGGGTATGGAACAGCTTCCATATGGGGAGAAATTAATAACACTGGGACTTTTCAGCTTGGAAAAGAAACGAGGGGGGGGGCTATGATAGAGGTCTATAAAATCATGACTAGTGTCGAGAAAGTAAATAAGGATGTGTTATTTACTCCTTCTCATAACACAAGAACTAGGGGTCACCACATTGAAATTAATAGGCAGCAGGTTTAAAACAAATAAAAGGAAGTATTCCTTCACACACCGCATAGTCAACCTGTGGAACTCTCTGCCAGAGGATGTTGTGAAGGCCAAGACTATAACAGGGTTCAAAAAGAACTACATAAATTAATGGAGGATAGGTCCATCAATGGCTATTAGCCAGGATGGGCAGCAATGGTGTCCCTAGCCTTTGTTCGCCAGAAGCTAGGAATGGGCGACAGGGCATGGATCACTTAACAATTACCTGGTCTGTTCATTCCCTCTGAAGCACATGGCATTGGACACTGTCAGAAGACAGGACGGTGGGCTAGATGGATCTTTGGTCTGATCCAGTATGGCTGTTCTTTTGTTCTTATTTTTTGTTTTGTTGCATTTTTGGTTTTGTGAAAAGCAGTTCCTCTGCAACTGCTTTTTTTACTTGGTGTAATACCCACTGATGACAATCACCCCAGTAGTAGTTTCACAGCCCAGTAACAATCCACTGGTAGTGGACATGATTGTCACCAAACAATGCTAGAACCTGCTTGTGAGGTCACAGTAAGTCCTTGCCCTTCCAACAGTTCACTGTTTTTAACGTTATTAATATTAATATGTTGTCCTCTTTAGCATGAAAAATAAAATATGAAAACCAAGCTTAAAAAAATATGTTACTGTTGGGGGTGGAAGAATAATAGGGACTTAACAGGTAGGTTCTAGCACTGTTCAACACTGGGTGTGATGGTGCCAGCACAATGCATGATGGGCCATCTTCAAAAGTACGAATTGATGGGAGGAAACAAAAGATAAAAACAACAAGGAGTCCGGTGGCACCTTAACATGCATCTGAAGAAGTGGGTTCTTTACCTCCGAAAGCTTATGCCCAAATATATCTGTTAGTCTTTAAGGTGCTACCAGACTCCTCGTTGTTTTTGTGGACACAGACTAACGCGGCTACCCCTCTGATACTTGAAACAAAACATAAAAAGTAATCATCAGAAATACCCATTTACTGTGGCTCTTTGGGACATTCTGCACATAAACCTGGACTTCTAGCTTTTTAAAACTGCACATCTTTAATCTAATTTTATTTAATTATTTTATTTCCTGATATGTCACCTCTAGCGTTTAGATTAATTTTTTAATAATTGTTTTTCACTACACTATTTCCTCATATTATTAAAAAGTAATAATAGTTTATACTTCATATCCCCCTTTGACTGATAAAAGAAAACATGTGGGTGTTTGTACGTATATATACTTTGTTTCTTACCTCTGTGAGACGAGGTATATGAAGGCCCTTTACATGATCTCCTGCAGTCTTCCTCGATTTGCCTGGCCAAGTTCTTTTCCTGTGACTCTCTGCTACACCAGACCAGGCAAAGACATCATGATAAGCTAAATCCAAATCTGAGGGATCTACTGCAAACTGGCATATCAACTTCAGCAAGCAAGCAAGACAGTCTAGCTGCCACTGTGGATAAGAAGAAAATGCAATTTTCCTTTTTCACAAATTCTAGTAATTCTTTGTCTATTTTGGAACTTGAAACACAAAACTTAAATGTCCTACAAAGCTAACAACTAAAGCACTAATTGGCAAGAGCTAACAAGACTTGTACTAGACAAGTCTACTACTCTACACTACTAGAGTCTGGGGCTGGTATTAAAATCTTTTATTTCTTACAAAGAGAGTATTTTCAAGAACTAGTCCAAATTACGGGTACAGTTAAAAGATGCTATGATATTCTGTGTAGAAGATTCAGTTTTACAATCTACAGCATTTTCTGGCACTTACATTTAACTTGGAAAGCAATATTTAACATGGTTTGTTACTCTTTTAAATTAAACACAATTACTTATATAGAGACAAACTACACCTCTACCCTGATATAACGCGACCCGATATTACATGAATTCGGATATAACGCGGTAAAGCAGTGCTCCGGGGGGGCGGGGCTGCGCACTCCGGTGGATCAAAGCAAGTTCGATATAACGCAGTTTCACCTATAACGCGGTAAGATTTTTTGGCTCCCGAGGACAGCGTTATATAGAGGTAGATGTGTATATTAAAAATACCATTTTGTATTGTAATGTCACAAAGAGATGAAAACCTCTCATTCACTCAGTAGTTTCTGATTTTTCTTTCCTCCTATTTCCTTCTGGGACTTGATCTCCAAGGATCTCATATGTACTATTACTCGTGCATGTACATTTGCCCAGCACAACCAGCAGGAGTTGTATCATACAAGCAAAACTAACACAATCATAGGCCCAGATCATACAAACCGATATACTAGCATAGCTCTCTATACCCATTCAGAATCCCATTGAAATCTCTAAGACTTTACCCAGATGCAGGAGTCTACACTAGAATATTTATTTGCACGATCAGTGCCTTAGTTGCACTTTACTACTCCTCCTCTTGCAAACCTAAATGCAAGATCAACTAAGGCACTAATAGAATCTTCGGCTTATGCTGGGAATGGAGAGAAATATAGAGTATCTCCCTTCTCCTGACCCTGCTCCAGAAAGAGCACCAACAGATGCCAAGCATCATGAGAGAGCTAGAGAAGTGTATATCACAAGTATTTATACAGATTCAAAAGAGAAAAAACTGAAAAAACAAAGCTCAAAAATATTATTCTCCTTCCATAAAAAATAAAGATTGTTTTTTTCAGTATGGGATACTTTAAATATCCTAAACACTGAAACATACACAAGCCATGACACTTTATATTTATTACATGACAAAATGCTGACATTGAAAACAAACAGCTAAAACAAACTCAGTCTAACAAACACAAACGAAAAGAAATCCACACTGCAAAGTAATATCCAACATAAGGAGAGTTTATCTCACATTCATTGATAGATGAATAGTGATAAGATACATAATTTCATAGAATCACAGGACTGGAAAGGACCTCGCACTCAAGCCAGGACTAAGCATTAGCTCATCTCTGACAGGTGTTTAAACCTATTCTTAAAAACCTCCAGTGACGGAGATTCCACAATCTCCCTAGACCAGGGATTGGCAACCTTTGGCACGCGGCCCACCAGGGTAAGCGCCCTGGCGGACCGGGCCGGTTTGTTTACCTGCCGTGTCCGCAGGTTTGGGCAATCGTGGCTCCCATTGGCCGCAGTTCACCGCTCCAGGCCAATGGGGGCTGTGGGAAACGGCGCGGGCTGAGGGATGTGCTGGCCGCCGCTTCCCGGAGCCCCCATTGGCCTGGAGCAGCGAACCACAGCCAGTGGGAGCCACGATCGGCCGAACCTGCGGAAGCGGCAGGTAAACAAACCGGGCCACGTGCCAAAAGTTGCTGATCCCTGCCCTAGACAATTTATTCCAATGCTTAACTACCATGAAATTTGGGAAGTTTTTCCTAATGTCCAACCTAAACCTCCCTTACTGCAATTTAAGCCCACTGCTTCCTGCCCTATCCTCAGAGGTTAACAAGAACAATTTTTCTCCCTCCTCCTTGTAACAACCTTTTATGTACTTGTAGACTGTTATGATGTCCGTCCCCCCTGCCCCCCTTCAGTCTTCTCTTCTCCAGACTAAAGAAACCCATTTTTTTCAGTCTTCCCTCATGGGGCATGTTTTCTAGGCCTTTATTCATTTTTGTTGCTCTTCTCTGGACTTTCTCCAATCTGTCCACATCTTTCCTGGAACTCAACACAATACTCCAGCTGAGGCCTTATCAGAATAAAGTAGAGGGGCAGAATTGCTTCTTGTGTCTTGTTTAAAACACTCCTGCTAAGACATCCCAGAATGATGTTTGCTTTTTTTTGCAACAGCGTTACACTGTTGATTCATATTTACCTTATGATTAAGGCTAAGATTTTGTCATGGCTATTTTTAGTAAAAGTCATGGACAGGTCAAGAGCAATAAACAAAACATGGCTACCCCCGATACTCAAAATAGACAGTATCTACTGCTTCCTCTCTATCCACAAATCCATGCTGATTGTTACTTATCACCTTATTAACTTCCAGGAGTTTGCAAATTGATTGCTTAATTATTTGCTTCATTATCTTTCCAGGTACTGAAGTTAAACTGACTGGTCTGTAATTCCCCAAGGTTGTACTTATACCTCTTTTTATAGATTGGCTTTATATTTGCCCTTTTCCAGTCCTCTGGAATCTTTCCCATCTTCCATGAGTTTTCAGAGATAATCACTAATGGCTCAGACATCTCCTCAGTCTGAGTATTCTAGGATGTATTTCATCAGGCTCTGGTGACATGAAGATATCTAACCTATCTAAGTAATTTTTAACTTGTTCTTTCCCTATTTTAGCCTCAGATCCTACCTCATTTTCTCTGGCATTCACTATGTTAGACATCCAATCGCTACTAAACTTTCTAGTGAAAACGGAAACAAAATGAAATGAATGAACAAAATATATGAAAACTAACACCAATGTGCACTGTTAGGGAATTTCCTTATTAACCCCTTGACTGTAGTGGTAGTGATTTCTCTCAATGCCAACAATGGGTTATGTACCAAGAAATAAACACACTACTGCTTTAAAGTCAGGTTAAGAAGTACAGGTTTCCCCTTGAAACCACCCATCAACCTCCCTTTTAAATATATATTTGTTTTCCAATATTCTGACCATGTTATTGCAAACTTAAGCTCTGATCCCACAATCAGGTCTGTGCAGATGCAAAGCTCTGCATGCATGAATCCAGTACCTTACTCCAGAAAATAGTTTCCAATCTGGGGGTTAGGGTGTATTATTTTTTAGTTATACAAACCAGCACATTTTTTCTTAGGACTACAGAAAAAATAACAAATAAAATAACATACAGAAAAGATATAAAAGTGTGGTCACAAAATAGCAAAAAGTCAGAATGATAAAAGTAGTAATGTTTTTAAAAGGGAAATTAAAACTGCAATTATCCAACAATTTACATTTCCCCCAAAAAGAATACTATATTGTTAGTGTTTATTGGCATCAATTTAGCAGCTGGTTTGTATCCATTACAGATGGAAGCACTCAATAAACTAGTTTCAATGCACAATAATTGGCTTATGAGCAATACCTTTCATTGTTCATTTTATATTGTTCATTTCTTCTCTTTTTCTACAGAAAAGGTGCAAGTAAATATAACAAAGGCTGCTAGCAATGGAAGCACTCAAATGGGATAGCTACCTTATAGCTGGTTAAAACACTGACTTGTCACCTACCACAGTCCATGGTTCCTGCTCTTTAGGCTCTAGAATTCCCGAATTAAAAATTTCTAACAATTGTTGAAGCCCTCCAGCAGCAACAAACTGTAAGTAAATTACGATAATGTAAGAAAAATCAGGTACATAATGTATTTTAAACTCCTTGTCTCAGTTACAAGATACACAATTAAAATCAGAAATAAAACATTGATAAACTATGCAGTTACTTATTTTTTGAAGGACATGAGAAAAATTTGTATAAAAATATAATGAACTGAGAGGCTTGACTTTGGCAAAAAACACTGAAGTTAGACAATAATTTTGTTTTTCATTAATCATTTAGGCCCAGGAATTGGGATTTCCTGACAGTATCCTAATGCAAAAAGTATTATGTGCTAATAATATGAACTTGAAATCAAGAGACTCCAAGGAGTGAAACAAAATATTAAAAGCTTATACTATCTTAAAAGAAAAGAACTTTCATTTTATGTCATTTTGAAAAATCTACACTACATATTACAAAATACTTAAGTAAATCAAACCTTGCAGCTCCAGGTGTTTTTACTATTTTCTATTTGATCTTCACTCGAATCATCAGAGTCTGGATAAAGGTCACTATAACTTCCCTGAGGATAAACAGAAAAATAAATTATTATATCAATGCTAGAATTTAAAGTAATAAATATTTCACCCATAAGAATTTGGATTTAGAAACTACATAAGAAGTTATATTACCGTAGACTCTCGCCTTATTCTTCTGTTAGGCTTGCCCAAAGCTTCAATGATTTCTAGTGCATACAAAAGTTTATGGGCACTTTTTATTCGCAGGAGATCCTTCCAACTAAATCCATCATTACCCTTATAAAAAAGTTAAGAAAATTAAATCCAATGCTGACCTGACCATAGAGGCAAAAGTAATTACATTTTTGAAGAGACAATGGCAAGTAATTTGGTTTTTACATATTACATATCTTTAAATGAATATTTATTGTTACAACATCCATGAAAAAAATTAAAATGTATCTGATGTAATTTACAGACTCTCAATCTGAATAATATACGTACAGTAGGAATCCCAATTAACTTAATATTATTAAAAGTTACCACAGAACATGCACAACAACAATTTTTAAAACATTTTAACTTCAATGAGAAATGCCAACCTGCAATTCCAAATGATAAAGTTCAACCTTTACTTAGTTAGGTGTGAGCAAAAAAGTACCTTAAGATGTACTTTGAAGGTAAAAAATATATTTTTTCATATTTTAATGACTATAAAATAAATGAACAGATTTTGTTCATTTTCCAAAAAAAGTCACCTCTGGACTGAAACTATGCATGCAAAATTTTAGCCTAAATGAAACATTATCCAGAAAGCTGTGAGCATGAGCAAAACAGATCCTAGTTCTAGCTTGCACAGTTACAAAATCTATCATATCTAAACCACAATTTAAGTTATATTTTTAAAATATTTTAAACATGTATACATTGGGATTATATGACAGCTTTCCCTCTCCCTGCCTTCACTAAATCTTGGGAGAGCCTCTGCAGTGCCATTTAAAAATTTGTAAAGGGCATGATGACTGCTGGTTAGCACAGCAGAGAATGGATAACCTATTCTTTCCTGCCCATCCTTCCCGCCACGTATTCAATATGCTAGATTCCTAAGTTTCAAAACATGATTGTTACATTAAAAGAGCATCAAAAATTCAAACAGGAAAGCAGAATCAGACCCCACTACTTAATCCAACCTAATCAAAGAATAAAATAATCTGTCAAACTAATTTTATCCAGGGAAAATAAAAAATTTTGACCCCTGCAGCCAGCTTCTCTCTTTGCCCTTAACATCTACTTACTTGCTGACACAAAGAGTTACAAGAGGATTGCTGGCAAAGTAAGGAAATTCTTCCATTTAGCCAAATACATTTTTGCTGGCAAAAATCCCAGTAGTTTTGTCTCTTACAATTCTTTCATGTAAATTCATTTTATTCTTAGTGTTTTATTTTCCTCAGGTACATTCAATCACAATTAAAGAGAGATCTTCCACTACTCTTATTCACAACTTCCTCAGTCAGATACAATTAGGGGGGACCCTCACATACCTTAACTTTTTACTGCCCATTAATGGGTATTGAAATGATGACCCAACATTTTATTTTCATTAGCAATCATCTCTGAAGCCTCAGAAAACATATCACTATAGACACTAAACAGTGTACTTACATGTGGTTGGTTCATATTGGAAAGTTGCTTAAAATTCACACATTTGCTCTTTTTACATTAAAAATGCTCAGAAATACTTCAGAATTCAAGATACTTATTCAAGATAATTATCCCAATAACATTTACCCAAAAAAAAGTATAACTGAAATTGAACCACGTTACCCAACATCCTCCTGGTTATAGCAATATATAAAATTCTAAATTCTCTCCCATTCAAAATTATTACCAAAATAATACACACTTCAATTAATGCAAGTTTTAAATTTAACCAAACCTAAGCACACCCAAAACAGTGGGTTGTTGCTATTGTATTTTATAATTATGAAAGGTGGAGTGAGGGATTTAAAACAAGGCATACTAAAAGGCAAATAATAACATACGATTCAGTTTTAAAGCCACATAAAATCTGTAGGTTAGAGTTCAAGAATATTGCTTTAGGATCAAGTATATCTAAGGATATTTACTTCTAAAATGAAACCCAAAGAAGACTTGAAAATAAGAAATAAATTGCTTCAACTTGCTTTGTACAACTGAAGATGTATGAGATTTAATTTCAACATGACCCAGTAAAGTCACTAGAGATAACATTCACTAATCATTTTACTTATTTAATTCTTGTTTACAAAAACAAAACCCATTACCTTAAAAGACACAAATCAGGAAACTAAATTAGAAAAGCTACAGGCTTCTTTTGATTTTTATTTCAACAAAGTAAGAGAAGAATAGGTGAAAATGGTCCCCTCTTTTTTTTTATTTTCTCACTATACCCAATACAAAGCCAGAGAATATATACGTCTCTATGAGCTGTCCTGATGTATTATGATTGAAACTGTTCTGTCTTTTATTCAAGACAATGTCCCCCTTGCAGAAATCAGTTATTTTTTACTTAACTCTGTTGGATCAATCATTATTCAATTTTGGGTAAATTGTAAAAATTTCACTGTAAGAAGTGTAACTGAATTGCAGATTATATATATTTAAAACAAACACTGTTGGCTGACCTGTTCATCTGAAATATTTTGGAATGCCTGTAACATGTTAGGACATGTAGGTAGAAGCATTAACAGTTCCCAGACACGCCTGGACAGGTTTTCTGCATGAAGGTGGAGTTCTTCACATCTTGCACTCTAACACAGACAAAAAAATCTATTACTATTAATAGTTTCTTAAGAAAAGCAACCTCACTGACATTTTAGGGTTTGAAGTTTCTTTATTTATTTATATTTTAAACAAAAGCAATTCATTCTCAAATTAAAGTTTGTTAAATAAATCTATAAATACAGCATGATAGTTTAGGTCTCACTGAAACAGAAGGAAATTAAGTTACTTTATGCACTATACTATAAAGACATGCAAAAGATTCAGTGTAAATAAATCCTGGATTTAAATACACAACTACTGATTCTGATAAATTCCCAGTGTAAATCCCATTGGTTTATATGGAGTTATACGAGAGATGAATATGCGTCACTGAGTTTTACAATATACCTTTAAAAATATTTTTTCAAGACAAATCCCCTTACTAATCACCATACATGTTTTCAATAGTACATATCCTTTCCAGAGCAACACATTTTTTAGAGTAACTAGTAAATAATATCATACCATTTTGATTATAAAAAGCTTATATAGTTACATCTATAGATATGATGAAATTAAATATACAGATAGAAATATTAGCTGTATCTGATGTTTGGATACCATGGTGAGGGGCCATCAGAAGTAGACAGATTGGACAGAAATTAAACTAGACATATTCAGTCATCTTAATCAAAGATCACTAAATTACCTCACTATCTTCCATAGCCATTTCACCAGAAGGAGGTTTAAAAGATGCAAGCATCTCTAACAAATCAAAAAGGGTGGTAAGATGAGGTTCTTGCAAAAGTAAAAGCATTGGAATGTTGTCCTTCTGAGGAGGAGGTAGGCAAGATGCTGGAAGCTGAACACCTTCACCTTTTCGCTCCCTCCGTGGTGCACCCAAGGATACAAACACCATCTAGAAACAAGGGGGGGAGGAGGACATAGAGACTATTTTAACAACACAACTACAATGACCATTTTTAAAACCAGAGACAGCTTATAAATAAGAATAGACTTAAGAACATGGTTTTGGAAGATACATTAGTATCTTCACTGTTGATCCTTTAACTATGTTTCAACAGAATGTCACAATTCAAAAATGACATACATTGGGCAGCACTGGAGATTACTTTGATTTCGCCTAACATGGTAAGTATGAGAGGTGGCAGCAGCAGAGTGATTAATTAAAAAGTAATTAATTCAAACGTGTGTTAAATTTAGGTGCTCAGATCCTCTAAAGTTGTCTTTTTCTTTGGCAGGGAGGAGTGACAAAGGGAGGGGTTGTGCAAGGTCAGGTCCTCCAATGTGCAGTGGTTGTAAGGTTAATCCTCCCTTCCTGCAAAGTAGACATTCCTATCTTTCTTAGGCATTGGGCCTGGATTCACACTCTAAGGAAGCTTGCTCATGTCCTGGGCAGTAGGCTGATCTGGGCTGCAAGCCTTGATAGGCCTTAGAATAAATAAAGATGTGATAGGGATTCTAGACTTTTATGAGTTCATTTACAGGATGCTATGGATTTGAGCATCAAAAGGGAGAAAGGAGGCTCTTGACAGCTTCAATGGCTGTCGCCTTCCCTCTTTTCCCTGCTCTCATGACAAAATGCTTTGAGATGCTATCCTGTTCATAAAAATCAAACAGTTGTGACCATTTGGCCAAAATCTTGATGTTGTTTTCACCGGCCCCTGCTTTTTTCGACAAAAAATAAATGGTTCCAAATTTTACTTTGATCCTTCAGCATGTACTACTTCACATCCACTAATACACCCAGAATGTGGCTTTTTAAACCAGGACTACTTTTTACAACAGTAAGGCCATAGAGCAGCAGAATGTAAATGTATATTAATAGGAACTAACTGTAATTTTATCTTGGGTGTAAAGGGGATGTATGCTATACAGCAGAAAACAATACAATGGTTTTAGGAAACAGTCAGATGTTGCCAAAGAGAATTTTACATTTTACCACCTAATACACTTACTGGTCATCACATGACAAAAGCAGCATACCAAATGATCTTTTTATATTTGTCTTATTTTTACACTGATAATACCTGCATATCCTTAAAGCCCAATTCATGAAGTGTTTTTTCATCATAATCAGTTGTTAGTTCGTGCCCAGATGAAATCATTCTCACAGGTCCCATGAGACCACCTACAATAAAGCACAACATAGTGAATTTCTGGAATTTCATTGGCAATTTAAAAAGCATAATCTTTAAAAGTAAAATTAATATTAACATTGATACTGCATCTGCTGAAAATTTTAACAAAAAGCAGCTTCCTGGTAACCTCTCAGGGCCTGACCCAAAGGCCCCTGAAGTCAATGGGAATCTTTCCACTGACTTCATTGACCTCTGAATCAGGTCCTTAATTACTTCCTTAGCAATATGATTCAATTATATCTTGTAATACAAAAGGCAAAGGGAAAAAAATCTGTCTTATAGGAAGGGAAGAGAGATAATAGATAAATTCACCTTGAAAGAACTTTCATTGAGTTCTTCCAGAGCTGGAAAATTGTTCTATAAGCATTTATTTTAAATACTGATAGTTTTACTAAGTGTGAATGCCATAGAAATTTTCTTCTAATTGCCCCTAAAGTGTGTACCATTAAATTACTATAAAGCACTATAAATGAAGGATCCAGGTCTGAAGGATCCAAAAAGGTTCACATCTATCTGCTGTTAAGACTGAAAGGAACGCAGGTGGCAGAGAGAACCATTCCTCCCCTTTTGTAGCCTTGCTTTGGTACGCGTGGGAACACAGAATGGGCACATGAGTGCTCTAACACATGCTGCTATAAGAAGGTTGTTTCACTTTCCAAGCTGCATTGGTCAGTGCAGCCCCTGACTGGGAACATAGTGAGGCCACCTGCAGGAAAACCAGCAAACAGTGTAACCAAGCTTAGAGCCGATCTACTGCCGACTTTCCACAATGAATAGTTTGTCTCACTCTGTTATATGCTGCTTAACATATATTTTGTTCATAATTTCTTCTTCAACCTCTCTAGTAAAATTTACTTATAATTATGACAATGTGAATTGGAGATGACATCTGCTAAGGCAGATAGTCATTATTTGTGAATATCAGAAAGAATCTGACTTCTGACCTTATAGCAGGCAGAAGCTGGAGTGAAATAATGGCTTAGGCTCTGTCAAAAGCAAAGACCCTGCCAGTGGAATCACCATCTAAACAGTGATGAAATGGGGCTGGCAAAGGTCACAGAGTACTGAAAGTGCCAAATGGTGTGGCAAGGCGCCAGTCACAGTCATAAATAGAGCAAATTAAAAAGAAAGCAAAAGTGAAGAGGAGGTTACTTACCTGTAACAGGAGGTTCTTTGAGATGCGTGGTCCCTATCTATATTCTACTGAGAGTTATGTGCATATGCCATGCACCTGGAGCAGGAGCTTCTCAAAGTGGTAGAGTCCATCAGTCCACACATGCATCCTGGTACCACTTCATGGTTTCACCAGAGGCAATAAAGGGCATGGCGGACCGACCACGCCTTCAGCTTGTCTCCACAACTAATCTACCAAATCCACAGCAAAGGTGAAGGAAGATGGGATTGGAATACAGGTAAATAACCACCTCCTCTTTGAGTGATGGTCCCAACTGTATTCCACGGAGGATGATTAACAAGCAGTACCTAGACAGGAGGAGGGTGCGACAAAGATGACGGAACCGTAGAATGGAGGACCGATGTACCAAACAAGGCAACCATCGCAGAGTCTTGCACCAGGGCATAGTGAGAAAAAAAGGCGTGTACTGAACTGCATGTGGCTGGCTTATATATGTCCATAAGGGGCACATCATGGACCAGGGCCATAGTTGATGCTTGTGCTCTCATGGAATGGGCCCATATCCCACCTGATAGGGACTGCCATGACAAGTGATTACAGAGCATAATGCACTGTGGAGTCCGCTCCGAGACTCGCTGGGTGAAGGCGGCCTGCCCCTGAATTCTCTCTGCTATGGAAACAAATAGTTTAGGAGACTTCCAGAATGGTCTTGTCCTTTGTACGTAAAGGGCCAGGGCCCTATGTATATCGAGGGAGTGAAGCTGCTGTTCCTCCTTTGAGGTGTGCAGTTTGGGAAGGAAGGTGGGCAAATGTATGGGTTGGTCAAGGTGGAAGCAGAAAACCACTTTCAGTAGAAATATGGGATGTAAGTGCAGTGAGACTTTGTCCTTATGGAAGATAGTAAAAGGAGGATTTGCAATCATGGCCCCAGTTCACCAATCCTTCCTGCAGAGGTAATAGCGACCTTCATGGAAAGAAGAGAAAGGGAGCAAGAGGCCAGAGTTTCAAAGGGCAAGTTCATCAATGCCATAAGGACTAGGCTGAGATCCCACTGAAGAACAATAGGCTGAACAGGAGGGTATTTGCATACAAGGCCTTCCCAGAATCAGGCAGTCAAAGGGTGAGTGAAAACCGAATGCCCCTCCACAGGAGGATGGAAAGCACTGATAGCCAATTCATGCACTTTGATGGAGCTGAGAGCGAGCCCTGAGGCCATCAGAAACAGTAAATAGTCTAAGACCATCAGGATACCCACAACCTCAGAAGCAAGACCTTTCTGCTGGGCCCAGGAAGTGAAACATATCCATTTGGCTTGGTAGGATTATCTCATGGAGTCCTTCCTGCTACTTGAGAGGACATTTCCCATTGCCAACGAACATTACCGTGCCAGTGGAGGTGTCCATCCAAAAACCAAGCCCCCAAATGAAGTGTCCGTGGATCAGGGTGCCTGAACCTGCCGTTGTGTTATGTGAGCAATTCTGGGAACGTCGGAAGCGGGAGTGGAGGATGGGTTGACATGCAGAGAAGAGTTGGAAACCAGAACTGGCAAGGCCAGAATAGGGTGATCGAGATGGCCGTCACTCTCTCCCGTCAGAATTTGTGAAGGACATAGGGCAGGAGCGGTTGGGGAGGGAAGGCGTAAATGATTCGATCTGACCAGTCGACAACCATGGCGTTGCCCTGTGAATTGTCACCGAGCCCTCCCCTGGAACAGTACTTGATTATTCCTGGGGGAATTTTACATCACTGTGCGTGCACAGAATTCATGTTCCCCGCAGATTTCTTTGTTTCCCCGCAGAAAAATGGCTTCTGATGGGAAAGCAAAGGGAAGCCGCAAGAGCAGTCACGTGCCCCTCCCTGGAAGCACAGGCAAGTCGGTTTGGGCGCCCGGAGCAGCTGGCAGAAACGTAAAATCACTGCCAGGGAGTGGGGAGGGGATGGGCAGTCGTGTGTGTGAGAGTAGCACTCGGTCCCTCTTGCTCGCTATTGTGGCACACTCGGCGTGGATGGGCAGGGCTTTGGGGTGTTTCTGAGGAGGTAGGAATGGGGCAGGCTCTGTCCCCTCAGGCAGAACAGAATGTATACTCCTGGGGGAATTCTGCACCCCTGCGCAATGCAGAATTTTGCAGAAATTATCATGCGTGCAGAATTTTCTTTCCCCCACAGAAATGTGCTGCACTGTTGCTAGCCGCCAATAGGGGCCACTGGACCCAGCAGAGCGCAACTCCCACATAGAAGACATTGCTGGGGGGACAGAGAGGGAGCTAGAGGGGTCCTGGCAGCCGTAGTCCCCAGCATGCCCTAACGGAAGGAAAGGGTGGCGTGCAGGAAACTCCATACAAGCCTGTTACCCAAGCATCAGGCTGTTTCTTCCTCTGGATCCCTGGGCTCGGGGTTGGGGGGAGGGAGAGAGAAACAGTAACTGGGCTGCCATAGGGGTTTCTTTAACTCTACTCCTAGGGGAATTTTCGCGTGTGTGTCTGTATTGTTACAGACATACTTGCTGACAGGTATTTTGAATTAAATTACCAAAATAATTGAAACTGGCATGATTATGTAGTGTTATTTTGACAAATAAAATTTGCAGAATTTTAAAATATTGTGTGCAGAATTTTAATTTTTTTGGCACAGAATGCCACCAGGAGTAACTGGATGCACTTGCTGTTGCCATGAGAGGAAAAAAGATCACTGACTAGGGTCCCCAACAACCAGAAATGTCCGTGATTACCATGTCACCCAACTCCCATTCGTAGTCGGTCATGAAATTCCTGCTGAGTGCATCGGCAATCACATTCTGACTCCCTGGGAGATAGGTCACTGACAATAGGATATGGTGTGCATCGCACCACTTCCAGAGGTGTACCACTTCCACACACAGTGCTGGGCACCTTGTCCCTCCTTGCTTGTTTATATAATAAACTACAGTGGCGATGTCTAACATAAGAACATGACAAGAGTGGATGGGCAGTAAAAATGCATGGCATGCCCTGCGTACCACCCTAAGTTCCAGAGTGTTGATGTGCATCCGGGGTTCCCGAGTGTTCCAAGTTCCTTGTGTCATGTAATCTACCATGTGAGCGCCCCAGCCGTCAAGTGACACATATCCTTTATATTCGTCACGCTTGGAGAGGACGGGAGGAAGGGCATTCTGGAGCAAACATGGAGTGGATCTGTCCACCATTGAAGGGAGAAGATGACTTCTTGTGGAATGGTAAGCATGTCCATGGACAGATGCATAGGGGAGCAGCCATAGTTGTAGACAGCAGAAGCCACGAATCGAGTGAAGGCTTTGACATATGTACACAATGCCATGTTACCCAGGAGGGGGACATAAGTTCTGGCTGAGCCCGAGGGGTTGGATGTCACTGAAGTGATCAGGTCCAGTAGTGTCTGGAACCTGTCCTTCAGCAGATTAGCACATGTGGAGGTTGATGGGTACGCCAATGAACTCCAGGGACTGCGTAGGGTGCAAAGTCAATTTTTCAACTTTCACACTCACTCCTAAACAGTAGAGAAGTAGAAGGAGCTGGGAAATCGATTCTTGAGCTACCATTTTGGACCATGCTGCCAGCAGCCAGGCGTCCAGGTAGGGGAGTATTCCCTGCTGTCGAAGGTGAGCTTCTATCACGGAAACCTATGTAAAGATTGTTGGAGCAGTGGTAAGTCCGAATGGGAGAACCCTGTATGGGAAGTGCCGAGGACACACCGTGAACCTCGGGAACTATCTGTGGGTCATGTGGATGTCGACGTGGAAGCAGGAGTCTTGCATATCAAGAGCCGTAAGCCACATGCCTTTTTCTAGCAAGGGAATGATGGCCACAAGCATGACCATGCAGAACTTTGGCTTGCGAATGGAACAGTTGAGGCATCGGAGATCCATAATTGGTCTCCATCCTCCCTTCTTCTTGGATACCAGGATATAATTGGAATAGAACCTTGTGCCCTGAAAGTTTGCAGAGACTGGCTCTACTGTTCCTCTCTGCAGTAGGGAGTCCACCTCCATGGCAAGGATACTGTCATGAGAGCGGTCCCTGAGATGGGACCATTGTGGGGGATGTGGAGGAGGTAGCATCATAAACTCAAGCGTTATAGCCACGTCAAATTACATTCAGAACCCACTTGTCCATTGTTATCATGCTCCATGCTGGCAGAAAATTTGAGATGACCTCTGAAAAGGGTGGCTGGCAAGAGTGTTAGAGTGCAAAGTGACTGACAGCGCCCTAGATGCACTCAGAAATATTGCTTATGAGAAGACAGAGTGTGCTGCATGGAGGATGGCCCCGGTGGACCAGGCAGATGAGACCTTTGTACCTTTGGGTGCGTCTGTGGAGGCTCAAAGGCTCGCTGGTGGTAAAATGGGGAGCTCTGTAGACTTGTGTAGACAGCAGGCAATAACATTTTCGTTTGGACGGTGGCTTATAAATGCTTAGCAATCGCAGGGTGGCCAGAGGGCAGCAGATCCAATGTAGGAGAGGGGGCCAGAGCACGTGGAGACCACATCCCTTCCAGGTCAAATAGTTCATGAGGTCCAGGAATACACTGGTGTCTCCCCAGGGTCAATGGCACTCCGTCCACGGATGGAACCGGAGCTGGTAAGGGAACTTGTCTCGGGACCGACTATTCACGAGACATTGGCGAAACCGATGCAGGAGGAGTATGGTGCCCAGGAACCAGGACCAGCACATCCGTCAAGCAATGCAGCTTCTTGTCGCTCTTGTGGGCCCTGGAACACACCGCTCCTCCATGGCTGGAACTCATGGACGATGCAGCATCTTTATTGGATCTGGAGGAAGACTTACTGCCATGCTTCTGTGACTCATGGCTAGGTCCCAGTGCAGGATCCATAGCACTGGTACCAGCTGAACCGGACTGGGAGTCTGCAGTAGGAGGCGCAGGAGTACAGGGAGGGTTCCCCGGCCAGGATCCAACTGCAGCCCCATGGCTACCTCAATGAGGTGCTTCTTAAGGTGGAGGGAAGGAGAGGCAAATCCTGCACCTAGATGCAACGTGGGCTTCCCCCAAGCAGTACAGACAGCATTGGTGCTCATCGCTGATCGAAAACGAGCGAGGGCAGGAAGTACAGCATAATCCAGTACATAGACATAGGTTCTGGGCAAGGGGCAAGAGGGTGGCAGGAAACCACCAAAGCAGAGTCCCAAAGTCCTTAATCCTAAGAAACTACTACAAACACAAACTACCACAAAAACTAAGAAATTCTGACTATGTACAAGAATAAAAACAGTTTTTCTGTAACGATTGGAAAGTGCATCACCAAGGGTGAGAGAACAGCAGAAGCTCCAATCTGAACATGCAGCGCTGAGCAGGGACTGAAAGCGAAGTTAGTCTGCCCTTCCCTTTATCGCCTCGGGTGAAACCATGAGGTGATACAAGGGCGCACGCGCAGACCGACGGACACTACTACTTTGAAAAGCTCCAGCTCCATGGGCATGGCACTTGCGCATTACCGTCAGTGGGATACAATAGAGCCCATCATTCAAAGAATAAAAGATATGCACACACATGTGAAAGTTAAAGTACTAGGGTCAATTCCTGAAATACTTGCTCAGTTTTTACTCAATCGCTAAAACTCCCCAGTGAAAGTACTGAGTCAAAAAAACTACTTAAGGATGTCAAGATTTGGCCCGATAAGCAGGAGGATAGTGAAAACGTTTACATATTCTGTCACCATGAATGAGGATGCTTTTAATTTTGTTGAAACTTGAATTGTTGAACACAATTTGAATTTCCACCTTAATGAGAATGACAGAGCAACCATTTCAGAGTTTCCTAATAAACAGGGGCTGGTTTTAGTAGCAGCTTTACAATACCATTTAAACAGATATGGCTAAAATAATCAAATTTCTTTAACATCAGGAATAAGTAAGGGAAAAAAAGGATTAAAATATTCCTATTTAATGAGAAAATGGTATCATCAACTGCATCACACAAGTAAAAATCCTGTCCTCAAGTAAACATTTGTGTAACATGTACAATTATTAATATTTATTAGTTGGAGCGCCAGTGACGGACCAGGACCCCATTGTGTTAGATGCTGTACAAACACAAACCAAACAAACAGTCCTTGCCACAAAGAGCTCATGTCTAAGTACAAAACAAGAGACACCAGATGGATACAGACTGGGACTGTAAGGAAATAATTAGACAATATTGGTCTGAACAGTAGGCTATGGTCTCAGCACACCAGCAGCCTAAACAATGTCAAATTTTTGTAGGCATCCTGGAAAAGGAGAGCTTTACGGAGCGCTTTGAAGGAGAATAACTAGGAAGATCAGAATAAACGATCAATTTGGCAACAGGATGTTAAGTAATAAATTAACTATTTTAACATAGTTGCAAAAAGACTGAAAGATGCAGTAAAGGAACTCATACCTGAATGGCAGCTAAATACATATTTGTGAGCCCAACATACATTCTGAGTCCTAATTATTTACATATACAGAGCCATAAATATACATGGCACAAAATGTAAGATGGGTCTCGACCCAGAGGAGTTTACTAACTAAATAAGACAGAATAAAATGAATAAAAACAATAATGGCAATGGGGAAAGGAGAAGATAATGGTGGAAGGAAGAAAAGAATGAAAAGTTACAATTAATAAAAATCATGTGATTTGAAAACCCATGTGTAAGTAGTGCATATCCCTTGTTACTTCTGAATTTTCTCTCTCTACTTTAAAAGAAATGGTAACATTTGCAAAGCACTGTTTAATGATTAAGTGTGACAGGCTGATGCTAGTTATGAAATAAATGGAGCACATGGAATAAAACCAACAGTGATACGTGCTATTTTTCCCCAGATACCCTAATCTACTGTCAAATAAAGATCATCTTTCAACCTCTCTGCATGATCAGTGAGCCAAGCACAAGCTAAGGCTAAGAGTATTGTATAACTTACCAGGGAAATCTCCTTTCCGACTGCTTTGGCCAAACTCCTGAAGCTGAGCTTGCTGGTTTATCTGCTCTTTCTGCAAATTTTCATACCAATGGGTAACCTCAGCCCTTAGATCTGCCACTTGATCACTAGGATACATTTCTATAGTCATCTGAAACATAATGCGCACATTTTTTCAGAATGAACAATGAACGTTATGAAACATAATGATCTTGGAATAAAATCCAATTGGAAAACCAAAGTTCTACCTTGTCAGGAAGTCCAGCTGGCTGACATACAATTCTTAGTGGTAATGACTGTTTATCACTAAGTGCCTTTAAGTGACTGCTGATACCAGTGCCTTCAATCTGCCACTGTCTCAGATGATACGCAAACCTTAAGAAGCATATAAAAATCACATAAAAACACTAAATGTTTTTGTTAACATCTGTTTAACTCAAAAGCCTGACAAACAGTAGGAAGACAAGAAACCTTACGATATGAAATTAACCAAAATGGACAGTGAATTTGATAGGGCCCTAAACATCAAACAGCAAATGAGGGCAACCATCTTTGTTTTCCATGCCAAAAACCTTTAACAGACTAAGCCTCACACAAAATATTTGCAAAGTATGTATTATTATCCCCATTTTACACAGAGGAAACCAAATGAAAAATTTACATCTCTGTTTTTCATTATTTCACTCAACTCAAATTTCTATTTGGTACAAATGATAGGAAAATAAATTTCAATAAATCCCAACTCAAAATATATTGAAGAAATTGTTTACCTTCTCCTAAAAGCTTCAAGGTGTGTCTTTAGCATTAAAAGTCCTCTTTCAATTATGGTGAGACTTGAGTGGGAGTCTTGCTCAAGATTACTGGAAGCAATCATAAGGCTCTCCATACACTTGCTAATAAATTCTTGTTCTTTTTCCAGACCTGTTTTACCTGCAGACAGATATTTAAGTAACTATGTGACAAATGTACTGAAAACTGCAAGTTTTAGTACTCAAGATTAAAACAAGATAAACTAATATTCTTTAAAAGATTTTATTTTTAACAAAAAATGACTAAAAGATTATTTTGTACAATATCCTCGGATTTTAGTACACCAGTGTAAATAAAACTGAGAACTCTTACCATTAATATAATAAGAATTGATATACTGGATAGCTGCTCGACTGACATCACCAGACTGTGCTCTTAAAGCAATGCCCCAGAATTGGTCCATACCACACAACTGTTAAGACAAATGAAAAATTTATCATGTGATTATTTTCCTAATGGGAACCATCTCTCCCCCAGTCTGACACATTTACACTGCGTCTTTTCCTGTTAGTACTAGAGATACTCCCACAGAATGGTGGGACTTGGCCAAGCCCTGAATGCGTGGGACATGAGCATCTGAAGCACTATAGGCAAACTCTAGATAGTAAAGATAGGTCTGACTATTGGTTTGGAAAGAAATGCTGCCCTAAGGAACCTCGACAACATTGTGCTATCTATCCAAAAACTTAAGCTCATTCAAGTGATAGTACTATTCAGCAGTCAGACTATCAGAAATGATGGTAGAAGATCTTAAAGCCAAGCCTAAGTCATCCTGAAAGAAATCCATGGAAGCTGGAACGCCTGATTCCTTGGAGTTAATCTTTGTATCTTGGCACCCATCGGAGAACTTTGTGTAAACTCCTGAGTAAGCAAAAATGATGCAAGGCCTGCAAAAAGCTCAAAGAAGAATATCCCATGTTGTTTATAGGACTTGCTGCTCAATAGTCAAACTGTTAGGCCCAGTTACTCTGAAGTGGGATGAAGAAGCAAACCCTGGAATGGGAGATCCTGGCTTGCTGGGGAGATGGAGTAAAGATCTCTATGAAAGCTACATTAGGTTTGAGTATGACAGCATACTTGGCCACTTTCACCTGACCCCCTTTTTAATCTTCTGGATTTTTCTACTAGCGGAAAGCGGGGGGGAGGGGCCCCCGAGGGACACAGAAGACAAATCATCTATTTGTGAGCCATTATAAGACAGTTACCTTTTTCCTAACTGGTGTTCTTCAAGATGTGTTGCTCATGTCCATTCAACTTAGGTGTGTGTGCTCCCCACATGCACCGGTGCCAGAAGTTTTTTCCCCCAGCAGTAGTTGTAGGGGACCAGCTCAAGTGCCCCCTGGAGTGGCACACACATGCTGCGGCACACAAGGTGCCGCCGGCTCCCCCGACCCTCAGTTCCTTCTTGTCGGCTTGTAGAATGGATGCGAGCAACACATCTCAAAGAACACCAGTTACAGAAAAAGATAACTGTCTTTTCTTCTTTGAGTGCTTGCTCAGGTCCATTCAATTTAGATGACACCCAAGCAGTACCCCTCGGAGGTAGGTAGGAGTTCACGGATGTGTAGACTGCAACACAGCTCTGCCGAACCCAGCGTCGTCTTTGGCCTGCTGAGTGATGGCATAGTGGACCGTGAACAGAAAACTATATACACTATAATACAAGAATTAACGAGTTCGTACGAACAGGCCTTTGTGTTTTCACTGGATGTGAACAGATCCACCTGGAGGGCTCCCTAGATATCAGCTGCAACAATTCTTGCTTAAGGACCACTTTCAGTTATGTATCTGCCAGCAGTTTTTTAGCCTGCATTTTTGTACATTGTATCTTATGTTGATCAGACAGATAAAGGCTATGTGATCTTGTGCCCACTTGCTGATTTATGTATGCCACAGTCATTGTGTCACATGCTTGTTCTCCTTTCTCAAGGGATCCTGGAAACCCTGAAAAATTATCATGACCAATTCTCACCTCTGGGAATTGATGTTCTGGAGCCTTTCTGACAACATTTCCTGTATATCATGGCAGCCCAAGTAAGCTCACCCTCTTGCAAGGTTGCCACATCTGAGGTCAGGACTTTGGCGTACAGATTGTGAATAGAGCATGCTACCATCCCATGGTTCTTCTGTTTTCCCGAACTGAGGGATATAATTACTCTAGATGGCATCTTTAATTTGCTCTGCATCTCTCTTTGGGAATGGTTCCAGGACTTTTAAGAGCAATCCCTGAAACTCTCTCATGAACTGTCTTGCCCATGGAGTAAACTTTATGCAAGAGACCTGAAGATCTAGGTGTTACAGGCAAACCAAAGAATGATATTCCAATGCAGGACACCTGATTGGGATCTTCCTGAAACTTTGCTCTGCCAGAAAAACAGACTCTTCTTGTGTCTATTTCGAAGCCAAGGTGGACGGCCCTCTAAGAAGAGAACAAGGAGTTCTTCTTTCCATGTATTATAAACCCAAAAGGCACAGAGGAGTTGCAGAGTTTTCTGCCATGACTTCTTCTGAATCAACATTAGGGAGTATGAAGAGGGAGTAATTTAAGAGAATTTAATTACTTGCTAACTGAGCCTTTTCCCATTATTGTAAGTCTCCTATTCCTTCACAATGACTTGTTCAAAGGAGGAGTGAAGGCAGATGGAAAATTTTGTCTTGGGTTTGGATGGGAGCTATTTACCCTTGGACTTGGTTGCTTTTTTTTTTCCTGATGAAATCTCGATGGTGGTCACCACCTTTCTCCCCATTGTCTTAAATGCATATGGAGGAAAGAATTTCTTCTAATCTCTGGCATGGTGTTACCGTGGTCTGAAGCTGACAATTCTCTTTTTCAGGGGATCAGATAGAACCTAATGGAATAAGATGAGTATCTGAAAGGCTTCTTGGCATTTTTTGTGTTTTCTGGTCTTTGGAGACTTTTTGCTCCTTTTGCCTCTTAGAGGATTTTCCCTCGCATCTGAGGATCTGTCCTAATTGGTGCTCCCATTTGAGAGATAACTCATAGGGATGGCTTTGAGTCCCTGTATTCTCCCCATTATCCAATGAATAACTGGAGAGGAAATGCAGGAGATCATCCCCTACAGGAACCCAGATTCTTCTCCTGGTAAAAAAAGAAGAGTCACAACAAATGTCAAGGGATTCTACTAACCAGCTAAGAACATGAGAGGGGAGGCCGATATTTTTCACCATTTCACCTTCAAGGTAGACTGGACGGATGGAGGAGACTGAAAGAATTTTGTACTTAATTCTCTGATCATTGAGGAAGGACCTGGCTGCTGGATCCCAAGAAGGACTGACCCACCATTGCAAAGGTATATCTGGATGTGCCTTGGGTGGTGTGGGAGGACAAAAAGCCCCAATGTGCTGTCCTTTATGACCTTTCTGCTGACAAAACAGGAGTCTTTAAGCTGGGAGCAACTATGGCAAAGCTCCTTCCTGTGACTCCTGAGAGGGCCTCCTCTCAAATGGAGTACCTCTTGGCCTTTCACCTGGGCTTTTTGGCCTACTATACTGAGGAGATAGAAACAAATGGAAGACATGAGGTCAGCAGGTGGCCTTAGAGGATATAAGCCTCAAAATTATTATTATTTACTACATCAGCAGCACAAAACACAACTTTCACTACAAGAAATTCAGCCTGGATATTTTATAAGAACAGTACCACTTTTGTTCTTAATATGTGCAACACTGTACATATAAGATAATGTAAAGTACAGTAACGGAAAGTGAAATACCACCAATGATTAAAAATGTGTTTCATAAGCAAGCTCAACTATTTCTCTTCTTTTTTTTTTTTTAACAGTTTCCAACATGTTTAGTAGCTTTTAGTATTTAGGACAAGCATTTCATATAAACATTTTGGGCCAGATTCTGACAGGCTCTTATATATGTGCACAGAAAGGTGGGGGGAAAGGAAAGAGTACACAAAAAACCTCCTCACTCTCTTCGCATACCACACACAAGCCTTGTCATAAATTATATTTCCTGACTTCATAGTGCAGCGACTGGTCTCTCCTAGTGTTCTGGTGGGCAAACACCACCCCAAAAGGAACACAGTCCTGTTCTCTTTCTGCATTAGTCTGCAAGGCAAGACCAGTATGCAAGGGCTAGCATGCTACATCCAGTGTAAAGGTGTAGTAGCAGGCACGGAGGAATTCTACCTGCAGCTGCAATTAAATCATTATGGACTTTATCATTCTTTTCTGGCAGTTTCATGTTGGAATGGTATGGAGTTGTCACATCCCAGGGGGATCTCCAGGAGAAATCTGGTTTCCAAAAGGCTTATTTCCATTGGGATCGCCCCATCCAGAAGATAGTTTTACACCATCCCAACACAGAACTGTACCTAATAGGCATGACAGAAACTTTAATGATGTAATTGTGATGACTGACTTATTTTATCTTGTCTCTGATTTGTTATTGTTTGCATGCACTGTAAGTAATTTATAATTTAAAAAATATCTTTCACTGCAAAATATCTACAAGCTATTTGTATTATCAGCATTAAAATCTCACCTTCCCCATCCTCCACCTTTTTTTTTTAATCATAGAGAGAAAGTGTGTTCGTGAAATTCAGAAGGCTAAATTTTCACCTTTCATAAACGGAAATACTTTCAGAGGAGACCTTAAAAAACAGAAGTCCTGTCTGGCACACATGAACATTAAAGATCTCATGGCACTTGTTGCAAGAACAGAGGTTTGCATCAGTGAATTCAATCAAAATTCTCACATGCCCATCCACACAGCTCCTCTTCACAGGATACTGTTGATCAGTGTGTCAATTGGTTGCTAACATCCACTTCAAATATGGTTACATTTCTGAGGTGCTTTATGGTGTAAAAACACCTTAAGAATTTATCAGGACAAGATGTTCTACAATCTACAGCATATTATATGAATGTAAGACATATTATATCATGACATCTAATCAAAATGAATATGCTGTTAAGTCTGTGAAGATTATCATGTGCTATGCATTTATTATTACTAACTGTAAACATCACAAAGACCTATTCTGATTTACCTACCTAAACAAATATTATTTAACACATTTCATTTATGGCCAGTGTGGGAAAACCCTGTAGATGTTCACGGGCAGTAGGGGGTGGACAGAAGCAGCCTGCATTTTCTTTGTGGACTCTCATCAATCCCCTACCCAGAGAAATCAGAAAACAACCCACATAACTGCAGTCCTTGCCAGAAGGCATAGAGAGGAGTCACAATCATAGTCCATTCCTCTCCATAACAGATGAAGGAGAATGCATGCATGCACGAAGAAGTGGGGCATCAGTCACAGTCCCCCATACACCTGAAAACTTTGAGACCTATAGTTCCTAGAGCTCTCACTAGAGTGGACGTCTGCATTGCCCCCAATACAGGGCTGTGATTTAATGCCACTTCATGATCAATACCTCTCACTAAACAGCCTTAAGGATATTAAGATATAGCTAAAAAAATGTACAGAGAATTAACTTAATTTTAGGGAAGAAGGGAAATTGTAGCATGATGTCAATACTTACCTCTGAGTTTGAGCCACCATCATATGCACTGGTAGCCAATCGGGCCAAGTTGCATAAATGTTGAAACAGGTTTAGACCAGTCATACTAATAGTTTCAGGTTTTAGTTGTGGCATCTAAATAAAATAAATGTGCCTTAGTATGAAAAGAAAATTGACAATGATAGAGATAGCAATGATTTCAGGGCATTTATTCTCTCAAAACACACAAGAACTTCACTGCCACCCCAAAACAGACTTAAAAATTGTAAGGTCAGTCAAGTTTTGTTTTAGCAAAAGATGTGAATCTCTTTGTACTGTACAGAGAAAACCACCAATAACGACAATGCTCCCCAATGGACCCCCCGAATTGGTGTTGGAAACTGTTTAGAATGGACAACATTTTCAGCACTGTGACATTAGCTCTTAAACAGCTGTCAGCAACAGGATAATTTGCTAACGTACCTGACTCTTCAAGATTTAAAAACAACTGGGGTACATACGGACAATGGAATTACACACCAAGATGTAACTGTCTTACTTTATATAAAAAAGGGAGTGGGTGTGTCAGAAAGAAGGGTGGCAGACAACAGGTATCTTCCCTTAAAGTCAGTGGAGCAGTAACAGTCAATTTACAGCCACTACTAAAGTCCTAAGCCTTCTGCTGCTCCTGTGCCTCTGCTCCACAGAAGGCAAGAATAGTAGATCCATATACTGGCAAACCTCCCCTTCCCTCAGCTTGGCTCTGGTCTGTCCCGAAACCCAACTCCATCGAGATGCACAGAGAGACATTGCAGACTAGAAATCTATGGCAGGCAGAGGGGATGGGATGGACACCTGAATAGGATTGCCTTCCACCTCACAATGCAGAGGAATAGTTCCATTGCACCTGGCACCTTCCATTGCTGCAGAAATGGCAGGATTTCCCCAGAGAAGTAACTTTAAATATATTAAAATCACTTTGATACAGACAAAAAAATTTAAACTCAAATTAATGAAGTTAAATTAAAAACTGTTTTCATATACCTTTTCTAAGAAAAGATGCTTGTAGGTTTCCATTCCCATAGCATGCTGATCTTTACTTCGTACTTGATTTAAGAACCAGTGTAATGCATCATCATAGCACTCAGAATCTTCTACTAAACAATGCCATAAAATGTCCACTTGTTCTAAACTCAATCCTAGAAATAAAATGTTTTTAAATGCTTCTTTATAATGTCAGATAAATTTGCATATGCTATCTTAAACAGGACAAGTAGAAAAGGCATAAAAGTCTTTGTCAGGATGGTAAGTTTTAAAAATATATCTAGCAGCAGCAGCAGAACCCTTTATCTCCCATATGTAGCAATCAACTGACAGGCATCTCTTTCTCTGGCATTTTTGTGCAGCGTGGAACTGAGGAGTTGCCTTGGCTTTTTGTCCTTGATGATGTGAATATCCATACAAACACACACTCAGGATTTCATTCCTATCAAACTGCAGGAGGTTTCTCACTTTATAATGTGTTTAGACACATTCTGGACTTCATTTTTGAGTTGGGAATGGAGACAGTGGTTAAGAATTATATCCTTGTCATGATTTGATTGTTACTTCCTTCAAGGGGAGATCAATACCCCACTTAGCTCTCATCAAAGTACTGGACTTCATTGGCTTACACTCAGAAACTGGTGTTCCTGGTTAGGCTGCAGATTTCTTCAAGGGAGAACACTGTGGACTGTTTTATCAATGGCACTGTAGGACATTATACTAATTTTTTGCCCTTGACTATTGATATTATGGCTCCTAAATATCCCTCTCTTTGTGCCATCCTGAGGTCACCTTTATTCACAGACAACTTATAACAGATGAACTGTGAGGGGAAAGAGTCTAGAGTGCCACTGGTGGAAACTGAACTTGGAGTATGACCAACTGAGGCACAGAGAAATTGTGAGGTTCTGTGCCATATTGACAGCTAAGTAACCTTTCTTTTCTTACATCATGGTACCCAGATCAGCACAACAATTCTAAAAGTGAACAGTCTATTTATCCACAAGAGCTCACTCAGAATTAATATTTTCTCAATTTTAGGAATTTTCTATCTATTGTACTGCCTGGACAAATCGAACAGACTGAGGCAGGATTATCTGGTCCTGTGGCATCACAGCCATACTAGCAGGTGGCAATAATAGTAATATCTTCTTGAATTTTGGCTAGTTTTGATCATGCAGATTCAGGAGGTACTTGGAAAGCTGCAGCCTACACACTGTTAGCTGGAACCACATGGTTACTAAAAGCATGGTTTGACCAAAATGAGTGGTTAACTAAGTATCACTTATTACTGACAGTCTCACTAACTACTATTTTATCTCTAACTCTAATCTTTTGGGGAAAGGTTATTTTGAAGACTGGGGCAAAGCAACTGCAGAACCATCTAGAGTCCTCATATTTTCTTCACCCCTGTAATCTGGTATTAGGCCTGGGGAAGATACAGACCCTCTATGTTGGTAGCAATAGATTTTACATTTAAAAAAATCAAATTAGTTTAAATTGAAATGAAGTTAACTTTAGGAGAGTTTATTACTATAACTACAGAAGCCGGATTAGCTATGCTATGCAGCAGATCTTATCATCCATCAGAGACTGCCTCATCCAAATACGATAAACGGAATACTGGACAGCCAAGTGGGATATCATCTGGAGTATTTTTAATGCTTAATCTTGACTGTTCATACTAGAAAATAAATTACTATAGGAATTTCTAGGCTTATTCACTATTTGGAAGCAGTAGCATGTTCTTACTGTTCATTTTCATTTGCTGTTGTGTATGGAGTTGCATTTTCTTTGGTGCTGTTAGAAAGAGAATGCCAATAATTAGTACATCCCCCTTCCTCTCTTTCTTGCTGTTGAAACACCTTGTTCACATGTCTGACCAGGTGCTTCTAATGTGCTCATCAGCAAGTTCCAACAAAATTATGCAGTGCAATTAATTAGACAGAATGATTATTCTCCGGCCTTTTCTTATGTTATGACACGGAAGTGGAAGTTTATTTAATTATTGTGATTGTATTAATTTTCTTCAGGGAAGTAGTGCCAATAGTTCAATCTCACATTCCAGATTCTCTTTGTCTGCATCTGTTTCCAGCTGCCACGTTAAGTTCTTGGTCTTGCTATACTGTAATAGTGTGCAAGTATTCTGTGAAGTGCTCCTTGATCTCAATCTTCTATTGAAAATCCAGCTTTGCTGCTAAATAAATTCCCCCCAAGGCCTGCTTTTCCTCTGAATGGATACATGAGCAGCATGTTTGTCCTTCATACTTAATCCAGTAACGTATATTTTAGTTTAAGTGCCATAACTTCATTAGAATCAGAGTTCACTGATTGCTGTTCTAACTCAATAAACTAATGTCATTATAGGAATTAAATTTGTATACTGATCATTTTCATTCTAAAATATTATTTAATTGTCCCCAAATATTACCACTATTTAGCACACAAGACATTATTCCAGAAAACCACTTGTAAACTACTTTATTAAAACATAAAAATAAATAACATTTTGCACTCATATTGCACTTTCCATCCAAAGACCTCAAACCACATGATGTAGGGAAATATTATTATCCTAATTTTAATTATCATCATCCCGATTTGTTAGAAAATTGAGTCTCAGTGAAGTTAAATGACATGACCAAGCAAAGTTGGGAATAGAATCCAAAAGTTCTGATCCCCAGTTCTGTGCTTTAGCTACAAGACTATCCTCCTCTCAAAGTATAGCATTGTAGATTAACCTTTGATGTTGTTGTTTAAAAAAAAATGGTCATATTAATTAAAAAAATAATCAGATTGTTAAAAAGTAGATATGTTTAATGGTAAAATTCAAGGGATGGATATTAATTATCAGGTAATATAAAAAAACTTACTGAAATGATCTGGTGATCCAAGAGTTGAAAAAACACATGTCAAAAACTGAAGACGCACTTGAACTTCTGCACTGTGGCTGTACCTATATTTGAATATTTTTAAAAAACAAAACATTTTTAATTCATTTGCAAATGTTTCATTACTTATATCGATCCTTCTCTATCCCTGCGCGCGCGCGCGCGCACACACACAAACTTGAGCAAACATAAGAACATAATTTCTCATTAATTTTTTAAAACTACTTTCAAAACTTCAAACTAAGTTCAAGAAGTAATGTAAACCCCACTCATACACAATACAAAGTAACTGGAAAAAGAGAACAGGGGGTGGGGGAGCAATAGGCGAGTTTTGTGTGTACTTTATTAGGGTTACCATTCGTCCGGATTCCCCCGGACATGTCCGGCTTTTTGAGCTAAAAATAGCGTCCAGGGGGAATTTGTAAATGTCCGGACTTCCCCCCCCATGCAGAGCGCGTGCGGCTAACAGGGCAGCCGGCCGGATGGTGCCACTTACATGGGGCTCTGACAGCCAGAGAGAGCCCCCCCTCCGCTTCCCCTGCAGCAGAGATCACTCCCTCCCTCCCTGCATTCGCAGATCGCCTCCAGCACTCTGGAGCGCCTCCCCCGCTCCTCCTTCACTGCTGCCCAGCGTGCCGAGACGAATGGCTCAGGCCGTTCCTGAGCAAGTTCACAGAGACGTTAGGCGAAGGCCAACAACAAGGGGGCCAGGGGGTCGGAGAAGGGGCAGGGAGGTTTTGGAGGGGGCAGTCAAGAGACGGGGGGGGTCGGGAGTTCGGGGGGGGGGGATTTCTGGGGGGGG